TTACTTACGAGTCTGCTGCATGATTGCTCAAGGGGGGCCCAAGCAGATGGGTGGTTATCAGCTTAGCTATGCAGTGGCCGTCTTGCTCCCCGCATTCTCCTGCTATCCATTGCCCATGCTCGGGACAGAAGGTCGACACTACGCTGAGGAGGCTCCGAGAGAGCGCACAAGAAGCACAGCAGGCGTGTCGCTGGTCATGGTCGAGCGGTGTCGTGGGTGGCTGTTCGAGGTCGGTCGTCGATGGAAGTTCAGGAGTTGAAGTTGGCTGCGAGGCCGAAGGTCGTGGGCGGTCGATGGGTGACTAATCAGGACGTCAACGCTTCTCAACGACTACAGTCTACAACGACAACTACATACACGCAGGATGGCTGCAGACGATGCGAATCTCCCGTTGACTATACGAGCACGATAGAGAGAGAGAGAGAGTCGTTGTTGATAGGCACGGAGTGAGCGCGGTAAGCAGGGATAACTCCGGCCTTGCCTGTGGTTGCGGTAGCTGAGATGCTTGCATGGCGCGGGTGGCTTATTGGCATGGGCTTATACACATTATCTGCAGGTCAGAATGATGATTATCAAGCCAACGCCATTGTTACTGGCCATTTGAACGGATGCGAGGCGACAGGCAGATGCAGGAGACAGCAGTAAGCAGGCTATGGTTCAATATAGTGCCGTCGCCTGGCTGACCGAAGACTCTGGAAAGCTCAACAGATTTGATTTACATCAGCCAAAAAATCTACGAGAAGACAAGGAAGGCTCGGATCCCAGGCCAGAGCCCGAAGAGCAGAGCCTTGGGATGGAAGATCGATGCTCCGGCAAGGCTAGGGGATATTTTGTACGAGGGGAGGTCTAAGTACAGAACCCCTGAGCAACTGTATCCGTTTCCCAGGGCGTAGGCTGACCTTCTCCCCCCCTGACCTCTGCCATCCCATCCCTCATTGTTGTCCAGTATTATTCCAGTATTATTATTCTTCCCGTCTCCTGTTTTCCTTCCACCATTTCACGGCTTACATAACTTGTGGACCACAGAGATAGTTTTCGTGGCGCGGAATCACACAAAGAGAAGCAAGCAACAAGTGAGGAGGGCGGAATCACAGGCCAAGTGGTTTGCCCGGTGCCCGAGGAAAAAGAAGGTAGATATTTACCGGCAGGGAACAGCGTAAAAAAAAAAAAAGAGGGAGGATACTAAGAGACTTAAACAAAGTAAAGCGACCTGTTCAGCCTTTGGCCATCCCACAGGGAAAAAAAATCACCCCAGCACGGCTAAAAAGAACTAAGCGGCCGCCGAACGAAACTTTCAGCCGGAGAATCAGATAATTCGAGCAATAATCACCCCATATATTCTTTTCGAGCCGGCGCAAGATCCAGAAAAGCGGACGTGCCCCTCCTGACTTTGTTGGACTGGCAGCGTCAACGGACACGTATGTCGGATCGACTTTGATAAAGGGAAATCGAAAATTGAGACCAGCTTTTGTGTGCGTATTCCGAGCCCCTGAGCCTTTGCATTTAGGCAATAGCAAGGCTACAGCAGACCTGCTCACATATTTTTCCTGCCTGCTTCCGCATATAGCTCGTCGAAATAGCCGTTGGCCTCCAGGCAAAATGGCGCAGGTTGACACTCTGGACATGCTTGTCCTGGCGGTAATACTCGTCGGGACGATAGCATACTTCACCAAGGGCAAATACTGGGCCGTCGTAAAGGACCCCTATGCCTCCTCCTACGCCGCAACAAACAGCGCAAAGCAAGGTCAAACCCGGAATATCGTCGAGAAGCTCGAAGAAACCGGCAAGAACTGTGTCATCTTCTATGGCTCGCAGACCGGTACTGCCGAAGACTATGCCTCCAGGCTGGCGAAGGAGGGATCCCAGCGATTCGGCCTCAAGACCATGGTTGCCGATCTGGAAGACTATGACTATGCCTGCCTCGATAAATTCCCCGAAGACAAGGTTGCCTTCTTCGTCCTGGCTACCTATGGTGAGGGTGAACCGACAGATAACGCGGTCGAGTTCTTCCAGTTCATCACCGGTGACGATGCCAGTTTTGAAGATGGCGGGTCGCCGGAAGACCAGCCGCTCTCCAAGATGCGATATGTTGCGTTTGGTCTCGGAAACAACACCTACGAACACTGCAACGCCATGGTTAGAATTGTGGATAAGGCTCTGACCAAGTGTGGTGCTAAGAGAATCGGTGATGCTGGAGAAGGCGATGACGGTGCTGGAACCATGGAAGAGGACTATCTCGCCTGGAAGGAACCCATGTGGAAGGCTCTGGCTGAAGAGATGGGCCTTGAAGAGAGAGAGGCTATCTACGAACCTACCTTCAGCGTCATTGAAGAAGCGGACTTGAACACCGAATCGGAGAATGTCTATCTCGGCGAGCCAAACGCTTCTCACCTCAAGAGTCGAGGCCAGGGACCTTACAACGCCCATAACCCATTCCTCTCACCCATTGTTGAGTCTCGTGAACTGTTCTCCGTCAAAGACCGTAACTGCCTGCACATGGAATTCGACATCAAGGGAAGCCAGCTCAATTACCAGACCGGTGACCACATCGCTATCTGGCCCACCAATGCCGGCCAGGAAGTTGACCGTTTCCTCAAAGTGTTTGGTCTGGAAGAAAAGCGTCATACCGTCATCCGTGTTAAGCCTATCGATGTCACCGCCAAAGTCCCGTTCCCCCAGCCAACCACCTATGACTCCGTGGTCAGATACTACATTGAAACCTGCGGGCCCGTATCGCGACAGTTCATCTCCCAGCTCGCTGCATTCGCTCCGGATGAAGAGACCAAGAAGAAGATGATTCGCATTGGCGAAGATAAAGACGTTTTCTCAGATAAGGTGTCTGCCTTCTACTTCAACATTGCCCAGGCTCTGCAATCCTTCACCGATAAGCCCTTTACCGCCGTTCCGTTCTCCCTGCTCATCGAAGGCATTCCCAAGATCCAGCCAAGATACTACTCCATTTCTTCGTCGTCTATAGTCCAGAAGGAAAAGATCAGCATCACTGCTGTTGTTGAATCGTTACGTGTCCCCGGCGCTGGCCATGTTGTCAAAGGTGTAACAACCAACTATCTTCTTGCTTTGAAACAGAAACAGCATGGCGAGCCCAACCCAGATCCATTCGGTCTGACCTATGCCATTTCTGGGCCGCGCAACAAATACGATGGCTTCCATGTCCCTGTCCATGTGCGTCACTCCAACTTCAAGCTTCCGTCTGATCCTTCGAAGCCAATCATCATGGTTGGTCCTGGTACCGGTGTCGCTCCATTCCGTGGTTTCATCCAGGAACGAGTCCACCAGGCTGAAAAGGGCGAGACCGTCGGTCCTACTATCCTTTTCTACGGCTGCCGTAAGAGCACAGAGGATTTCCTTTACAAGGAAGAGTTCGAGGTTGGTCTTTTTTTTTTTTTTTTTTTTTTTTTAACACCAAAGTGAACTCCCGTGTCTCAATGAGCTTCTAACAATATAATAGGAGGTGTCCAAGAAACTCGGCGATTCCTTCAAGCTTATCACTGCTTTCTCCCGTGAGACTTCTCAGAAAGTATACGTCCAACACCGTCTTAAGGAACACGCCGAGCTAGTCAGCGACCTTCTCTCCAAGAAGGCAAATTTCTATGTCTGCGGAGATGCAGCCAACATGGCTCGAGAAGTCAACGTTGTCCTAGGCCAGATCCTCGCTGAGCAACGAGGCCTGAAACCCGAGAAGGGCGAGGAACTCGTCAAGCATATGCGAAACACCGGCTCGTACCAGGAGGATGTCTGGTCGTGAGCATCATTTAACCGCCACTATCTACCCTCATCTTCTTATCTTTTTGCCGCCACCCACTAACCGACTTGCATATTCCATATTTCCGTTCCTTCATCATGCTCAGATGGGCAGATTAATACCTCCAGATGTCAGGAAAGAGAATTATAAAGAAAAAAAAAGATAAGAGAAAAAAGGAACAGGGAAGGTCTATCTCATAGAATTTGCGACTTAGGTTCTTGCTGGAGTCTGTCTGGACTGTTGATTTTCTTCCCGCCCGGTCTTCCGAGCAAACGGCCTGTTTTCATCCTCTCTTCTCATTCTTTGCTTCGCTGTCTACTATCCCCTAAGTTGCTAATATTTGCTTTCTTTATTGATGCTTGACTTTGGATAGATCGTTTTCCTCTCCTTTCCTCTCCTTCCTCCCCCTTTTTTACGATTTACTAGACTATTAGTTCATGAGTGATGACAGAGAAGCATATACAGACAGGACTATATATCATCTTTTCCTAAATAGCTTTCTCAGAGTATGGGTTATGCTTTGAAGCTCATAACACTGTGGCAGGCTGGCCGAGCATACATCAGATGGCGTCCTTTGATATATCGATTATTACCCCTTGACTGGCTCTTGGACTTCGTCAACGCGAGTTAACCAGTCCTTTCCTTGAGAAGGCAATATCTCAACTCCTGATGAAGCCATTCAATATGATGCCTTGTCTGCCAGCAAAAATTTGGCTGACTAACTAGTTAAATTAAGCTCGCCAAGGCGGAATCCTCCGTTCTACGCGGAATACATTCTCAGCCTCTTGTTTTCTTCTTTTCTTATGTTTCTTCGTTGACATCTCTTCTAATATCCGAGTGAAACTGGCTGATATATATGGTAGGCGTGTTGATAAATTACTGCTCCAGCCCAAGATTCAGCCTTTGGTAACTCATCAAAGAGTTGACCTAGCTCAAGACTAACCCAAGATACTGAGTTATCCTCGCATACCCATCACTAGGAATCATTATGAAAATACATACATACCAATAGCTCTGAGTCCGAACTGCCAGAGATGCTCTCCCGGAACCGCAGATAGCATACCCCATATTATGTAAACACCTAGCAACGACTAACTATATATAAATGTCAACAATGCTTTCTCCTGCTTGTTCATTCATCTAGCCTGCTTTTAACATGGCCCTGTGCACTTGATATACCCTAGATACCACTACAATAACATTGGGCTGTCCTGGCCTCCAATACCATCCCATTGAAATGGAACTGCAACAGAGTCTCAGGTCTCTTTATCCAGGCCTATTCTGCCCTCTATTCAGGCACTTTCTAGCTGTCCTGCCAGCAGAGATGCATTTACTATGCGGCGTCCACTTCGACGATACAGTCACTCTCAGACTGCTTCCGTCTGATCTCACAGTCACTGTCAGCTCACATATATAGGCCCTCCAGCCTCCAGCCTCCTTTCTTCTTCTTTTCTTCTCTTCACCATCACAATCTTCTTCTTCTTCTTCTCCATCTTCTGCTTCTGCTTCTTCGTCTTCTACTGCTTCGCCTTCAACTTCGACTTCTCAGGCGTAAAAGGCGCTTTCTCCTCCACTGACGTCCAGGTTTCCTCTTTCGGCCATCCCGGGACTGCCTGCCTTCCTCCGCCTTGCCCTGCCCCTCCTTTCGACTGACGTCCGCATAGCCTTTTTCTCCCCCTTCGCGCCCTTTTTTTTTCTCCCCGTCGTCAGCTTCATCTTCTTTTCATCTTCTCTTCATCTCCTTTCATCGTCTTCTGCATCTCGAGTTATCACCAGCATCAAGTTCTCCGTTGCTAGTCTTCGTCGTTCATATCTCAGAGGCTTCTCTTGTTATTCTCCTGCTTTAGTTCCCCAGACAACCGCTGTTTTTACAGTCGGGACCGTCCTTTTTGCGTCCTTGATACCCCTCTGTGTCCCTCGTTCCGTCTTCTTACCACCCCCAGAATCCATCATCTTTGCCGTCAAGCAGCTCTTGTGTACGTACGGTTTTGTATCTATTCAGCTCACATGTATCCTCATAGGAATTTCAACGCTGACATGAAGGCCGTGGGCGGTTTTAGCGGCTACCCTGCTGTGTACAAGCCGGGTAGACGTCAAGCATATCCTCAAGCTAGAGTAAGTCTACTCCACCTGTCTTGACTTTTGCTGTACATTTATACACGCTCTTTCCGGGATTTCTGCATATTTCAGTTCCGTGTTAAGCATTATAGATACTGACATGGCAACTCTATATAGACTTACTGGAGACCAGCCATGCAGGTTAAATCTCAGGCTGAAGCTACGGCTCCGCAGTGCCAGGGAACTGGCTACATGCAAGAAAATCAGCCTCACCACCCGTATGTTGGTCAGCAGACCTATGGCCCACCAGCTGGGGTTGCCAACAACCCTAGCAATGTTAATGGAAGCGTTTTGGCCCATCCTTTCAACAAGATGTCTCTTCAGAGCCAGCCAAACGGCTCCAAGCCTTTCCCTGTCAAAGGTGGTATGCCAATGCTCAATGTTGATATGCCTGGTATGCAGCATTACGGGCAGTACATGATGGCCCCCAATGGGCCCATGTTTGGTGGCTACCCTCCAGCACCGCAGTTTGGACAGTTCCCGATGCGTGCTACTGATCAAGGTAGCTCTCTCCAATGTATTCCTCCTAATTTTTACCCCGGCTTTCCTACCAACCCTCCCTTTACTCCGGATTGTGTATCTGGGTATCCCTGGCCGTATTATCCAAATGGTGATTTTCCAAACCACGGGAATATTCCCTTTGATCCACGGACCTCTGTTGACGAAGTGAATACAGGCAGCCCTAATATGGGTCTATCTGGACCGCCACAGGATTATTACTCTGGTGCTGCTCCAGTTGACCGCTCTTCCGCACCGGGTTATACGTATAACAACCCTACACCTCAGCAGCTTCTTCCTTACCAAATGATGAAGACTGGCTCTGGTTATGTCCTCCAGGACCTGGATGCTCTGCTCAAACAGGAGCCTCCTATCCCACGTGCTGTCCCTGCTATGTGGACTAACCCTTCCGATCTAACTCTAGCAAAGTGCCTTGAGAACCGTGAAGGTATTACTAATGTCTACATCCGTGGGTTCCTCCCGGAGACCACAGATGAAATGTTGCATAACTATGCCTCACGTTTTGGCAAGATTGACAGATGCAAAGCGATCATTGACTTGGAGACCGGATTGTGCAAAGGGTATAGTTTGATATCTTCTGTCTCTGTTACACATTTACTAATTGTTCTCTAGGTTTGGCTTTGTCCAATTCTTTAGCTTCGATGCCTGCGAGAATTGCATTCGAGGATTCTTCCATCTTGGCTACTAAGCTAGCTTTGCACAGGTAAAGGACTTAAGCCTTGAAGCATCCTGAGCTTATCTTTTAGCTGACTTTCTCTAGAAATCTCGCAACTCCCGTCTTAAGGACCTGGAAGACAAGAATTCTACAAACGTTTATTGCACTAATGTTCCCATTGACTGGGCCGAGGCAGTATGTAGAACCTCATTGTTCGATCTCTACACCAAGCACATTCTAATGTTAGTGGTCTAGGACCTTCGCCGTCACTTTGAACCTTACCAAGTCGTATCTGAGAAAATCAGCCGAGATGAAAAGACTGGGGTTAGCAAGGAAGTTGGCTTCGCTAGGTTTGTCATTGTTCTCACATCGCTTCCAAGACGGATAAGTTACTGACTGTAAGCTCTAGATTCGAGACTCGCGAAATTGCTGAAAAGGTCGTTCAACAATTCCACAACGTTGTTGGAAAGGACGGAGTAAAGCTCCTCCTGCGCTTTGCAGATACCAAGGCTCAAAAACAACTCAAACATCAAAGCAACGAGCGTCGTGCTTACCGTGCTGGAGAATATAACTATTCAGTTGAGCTTGTTAATAGTGCTACTCCATCTCCAAGCCTCCATCGTCTACAGCAAGCTGCCTCTCATTTTAGCCCAACTTCTCAAAATAGCTACCCCTCTCCAATTGGGAGTGTCGGACAAGTTTGGACTCCTGCAACATCCATTTCTCCACCGTATGAATTCTCCACTCCCTTGCTCCAGCTTGATATATACTAATGCCACTAGAAGCGGTCCCATGATGAACAAATCTATGAACGGGATCCGAGCCGGCTCATGGGCATCCCGACGACCTCAACCTAATGCTGAGACTACTCCAAGCGCTCGTGGAAGATTCACAGTCCATAGGAGTCCTTTGGCAGATGATCTCTCTAGCTCATCTTCGACTACCGTTCTACCACTTCCACACATGAGTGGAAGTAAATCTGAGAATTCTAGCCCCATGAAATCGAGAGCCGCAAAGACGAGCATCATGTCTCCAATCCCCTCTCGGAAGGATATCATTGTTTCAACTCCACGATCATCCTGCTAAAGCCACCAAGCTTAGCTACGAAGATGACCGTTATTCTTTACATGCTGGATCACAGGACTCAAGAGCATACCAATATTTGATCCCCTTTTTATGACTTTATGACACATTGATTTGATTTTCATTTTATTCACAGTATCGGGACAGTGAGGCATTCTGTATCGGAACTGATCTGTTTTCTTTTTCTCTTTGATTTTATTCGCCTTGATTGACAAATTTCACCGGCCAAGTACATGTACCTGCATGTATTATGGGGATGTCACTCATGTCTACTCTCATTCATACTTATGAGATATCAACGTGGTCATACAGGTTATGGATGGTTGCCAGGAACTCGTGGGCAGATAGTATTTTTTAGTTAGCCTTTACACGTTACGCTTTTTAACGCAGTTATTTGAATGCCATCATCCCCAGTCATACCACTCAAAACCCACCGTAGATTGGTACAATATCGTGAGGTAGACATCAACAATCAAGAAAGCATTTCTCTACCTTGCTTTTCAAATGTGAAGAAACGTAAACGTACTTATTTGGTCCTAGGCAAGCTTATCTCCTTAATTTTAGGTATATATTAATAGCCCCCCACCTCTATTGATTCCACTTTTCGATAATGTACTTTCTGTAGTTCTGGAGACTAGAAATCTAAAAGTTAGGGAAAGGATGAAAAAAAAGACAAAGTTAGTCCCTCCCCAGACGCTCCTCTTCATCCTCTATTAACTCGTAGGCAGGTTTATAAGTAACAACATGATTATTCAATCCACCATTCTCAACTGTCCCCTCTACCTTCAATTTCGGGTTTGGATGGGTATCATTGGTTCCTCCTAAGCTGGTATATCCCTGGTCATAAAGCGGGCAATAGTCTATTCCCAAATGTTTGATGAACGCCCAAATCTCCACATAATGCCAATCAATTATAGGATGAATGCGCATGAAATCCGGCCATCCGTGATCCGTACGATCAAAATGCGTTAGTTTACTGCCATGGGGATCGGTGCGGCGTGTTCCGACAAATATAGCCCGTACCTGTGGATTGGATGACAGGTACTCTGCAAACGTCGAGCGGATGGTTGAATGTGGAGGATCAGTTGAGTGACGGGTTAACTTGAGATGGTAAGCCTGGGACGATTGTGTGACGAATTGTTCGACCGAAGGGAATGGGTGCTTAGGCTGTGCGTATATTGCTGGTATATAGGTTGGGTGAGAAGGCGGGCTGTTGCTGCTATGAGATTGGTTGCTGGCGATGGAGGAGGAGCATGATGGACTGGTTGACGCGCAGTGCCGATGTAGGCTTGCGAGGAAGAGAAGGAGGAGAACAAGACAGTCCTTGCCGCCGTTATAGGAGATGGAGAGTTCGTGGATGGGGTATCGTGTTAGGGATTCTCGGATAACGTCTAGAGAGATACGGGTTTGTTGCTGGACACGGTAGAGTAAGGAAGAAGGGTCGTGATCCTCGGCAAGGAATGCGGTTATTTGGTTGTGTAGATTGCGAGTCACTGTTGACAAAGGCGGCAGAGTCGGCGGTTCAAGTATGTCGGTCGTCTCTTTTGACAGCTGTTTGGCGCCATGTAGGGCTGTTTCCGTTAAAGATTTGTCCGCGCCGTTCGCCTGGCTGGTGCCGTTTGGGTCTGTCATTGCAGATCCGACGGTATATTATGTAGTGGGTGTATCGATTGAAGTGGGATGCGGTATCCCCCGCCGATGAAGGCAGCTTGCAGTTTGTCTCTTTCTCGCGATTCCAGCTGGATGTTGTGATGTGTATGCGACGCCTGCACGGCTGTGGAAGAGAGATATGGCCTGATTAAGATCCTTCCGAGGCTAAGTACTTATGCTGTGCAGGCTGAATACGGGGCGTCAGCTGTGGGCCATACGGAGGATTTTGTTTTGATTGCGTTGCAGTCCCGTTCTCAATGCCCTCGACCAGTGGCGGATGCCGGCTGAGATCCCTTACATATAAGGATTCGGCGCAGTAATAGCAAGAAATTTTCGATTTGACTGCCTTTCACTGCTGCCGCTGCCGAAGAAACGAATGCACTAAGGTTAGAGTATTCCGGCGTTGCACACCGTGGCAAAGATAAGGCTGAGTAAGCGGGGATGGCATTGCGGCGGCGGCTAGATAGCCGACCTTGTGCTATCTGCATGGGAAGGATATGCATATGCATACCAGTACGTGAGGACGTCGCGGTGACTCTAGTTCGTGTTGAACGGCGCATGCTGATCGTAGAATTATACCATTACATCTCTGGACATCAATTTTATGGACCTACATATCCAACAGGGCAGGACCCGCTGAATAGACTCATCTATAGATCTCCAATAGCCAGTAGTCAAACAAGCCAGGTAATAGCCACATCAGCAGTCAAGAATCTTCCAGGTGTCCTCATCTACCGTGTGGTATATCACACTGAGTCCCAGGAGCTCCTCGGCAGCTTTATAGACTTCATTTACGTTCACCTGCATTATCGGCGCCAGGACATTCACATGCATGCCCTCATTAGTCTGCCTGCTGTTGCTGAGAGCATTATATAGTTTTCGTGCCATCGGTGATATTCGCGGTAGGGAGAGATTGCTGCCACCCATATCCATCGCACCACCCCCGGTTCCAGCTCCCGTCCCAGAAGCACCGCCTGCCTTCGGTGGCGGGCCCTTGGTGAAATAGAGATGTACTGCCGTGGCCTCAAGGAAATGAACATGGTACTCGTTAATATTCGTTATGGGCCGGATTAACACCGCGTTAACCTGCCGCCGGTCATTAAATGTTTTAACATTGGCAAACACCTTTGCGTATCCGTTTGTTGTTATCTGGTGGGCTCTCGGTCGTCCAGACTTGTTTGTCACAGCAGCTGGACCAGCATTGCTACCCGCACCATCCATAGCCATGACATCCATAGCTTCAAGCTCATCAAACGCTTCTTTTTCTTCAGGGGGGATGAAATATTTCACGTCCGTCTCTCCCGTGCCGTCGTCTAGCTTGTACGTGATGTGTGTGGCTAGTTTATTGACATTTCGAACCTGTCCCACAAAACATACTTGATTGATATCGGCGTTATCTATTTTGAAGGGGGCTTCGGGGAATGCCTGGGTGGCATCGTTTAATTGTTTGATGGTCACTGGTCGAACTGATCTAGATTCACCAGAGTATGTCTATACCGCCATCAGTCAGCACATTTCCATATACAAGGCAGGTGACAATTCCACTGCAGGTTCTCCATGCTGTGTACCTTTGACTGGCTGCTGCTGTCACCTTGTGCAAAACCGCCCTCCCCCCCGCCATAGGGTGTTGAGCCGTACCCGTAGTCTGTACGCGTTGGTTAGCTCTCTGAACAGGCGACGTATAGAATGAAACTCACCCATTACAGCTCTATTTATGCTAGGAGACCAGCTATAATCGTGTCGCAATGTTCTCCCGCACCGCAGCAGGTTGTCTTGCTCTCTATCTGCGTCTTTGTCTTCGTCGTTTTTAATTGAACTTCGCGTGTTTTTCTCTTTTTGACGCGTCGAGGGGATATCACGTGGTTTGTTACGGAGAAAATAATATTCCTTTCCGGACCGTTTTCGGAACCCCAAACTTTAAAATATATCAAAAAGTTTACTTTAAAAAAAAATATTCAACTTTGATATTTGATATTTGATGGCTACGCCGACGTGATCCTACACACGGTCTAGAGCAATTATACATCCGGAAGCTCTAGTCTGTTTCTACTTTGTGTGAATGGTACTCCTATACATCTAGCCAGTCATTTGGACTCACTTTGAGGCTTCGATTATACCACAGATAACTTTGCCCACGATGCCTCAGCGGGCAGCCTCTCCGGCTCAGTCGGAGGCTGAGTTTGATTTGACAAAGAGTTTGTTTGCTGCAGATGATGACTCCGATACAGAGCTGCCTTCAAAGAAGCAAAAACAAAAGAAGAAGCCGGAAACACATGCACAGTCACTGGATATGATGGCGGAGCTAGAGGGAGAAGAGGACGACGATGGTGATGCTACATTCATCGCTACCGAGCAATCATTGATGAACCGCAAAGCATCTGCCTTAAAAGGACGCACAGTAAAGAAAGGCGGTGGATTTCAGGCGATGGGCCTAAATCCTACCTTGTTGAAAGCTATCACACGGAAGGGATTCTCAGTTCCAACACCCATCCAGCGGAAAACGATACCACTATTACTGGATGATCAAGACGTTGTGGGTATGGCGCGCACTGGGTCGGGGAAAACAGCTGCTTTTGTCATTCCCATGATTGAGAAGCTTAGGAATCACAGTACCAAAGTTGGCGCAAGAGGGTTGATTCTATCACCATCTCGAGAATTAGCATTGCAAACTTTAAAGGTTGTGAAGGAACTTGGCCGAGGGACCGATCTTAAATGCGTGCTTCTGGTTGGAGGCGACAGCCTTGAAGAACAGTTCGGATATATGGCCTCAAACCCTGACATTATCATTGCTACTCCTGGTCGATTCCTTCATCTCAAAGTAGAAATGAACCTGGATCTTTCCAGCATTCGGTATGCTGTATTTGATGAAGCCGATAGGCTATTTGAAATGGGTTTTGCAGCCCAGCTTACTGAAATTCTGCATGCATTACCCACTTCTCGCCAAACACTCCTGTTTTCTGCAACACTTCCAAAATCTCTGGTGGAATTTGCTCGCGCGGGCTTACAGGAACCAACTCTCATTCGCCTGGATGCAGACAGC